CTGTTTCCTCCAACAGCCTTTGCGGTTCATAGTAACCCAGGCGACGACCGAGCCTGTAAAATGTTCGATGGCGGAAGTACCATGAAGGGCAGATGAATTAGTTTTACGTAGACTTCTCGACGTCTGCAACCATTCTCTTTTCTTGTCCTGGTTTGGTAGCGGCATCGGCGGAGTTTCGTTGATTTCCTGATGAATGAGTAAATGTGAAAATGTTTTTGTGTCAGTCAGTTTATCGGTTGCGAACTGTAATCCATTCAAATTTGGATAGCATCAGTATCGTGGACATATCACTCATTTTTTGATTTAGGCATCGCCTTCAACGCGTATTTCGGTGGTCTCGAACAAATCTGTTGGTGTCAAGGCTTTAGCGGCTAAACCTGCTAGTCATACCCCCGGCTACAAGCGACTTGTAGAGTATGACAGTGGGACGAAGTACCCTGCATTGTTGCCTGTTCTTATTGATTTGTGTTCGTCTGCATTTAGTACGCGAAAGTTTCCGAGAAACAGTGACAAGTCGAAAGGCTTGCGTCATTTCAGCACCAAGGTTTGCGAAAAAGTGCGCGAGAAAGTGGTGACGAACTACAATGAGGTTGCCGATGAGCTGGTTCATGAGTACTTTGAGTCGATGCCAAATCCCCCGGCTTCACAAGTAAGTATCTGTTTCATTCGGCTTGTCACTTGGCAGTCGTTTAGGAGAAACAGCTATATGATCAGAAAAATATCCGTCGTCGCGTTTACGACGCCCTTAACGTGTTGATGGCGATGAACATCATATCCAAAGAAAAGAAAGAGATACGTTGGATAGGTCTTCCGACTTCGTCGGTTCAAGAATGTAAGAAACTCGAAGACGATAAAGTTAAGCGTCGCCTGCGCCTTCAACAGAAGCGAGAGCAACTCTGTGAGGCAGTCATGCAAGTATGTTGCATTACAGTCACTGAATCTACGACAGCTTTTCTCACTTAAAGTACTTAGCTTGCATCTTATAATGTTTCTTCTCTCAGCTCATAACATTCAAAAGCCTGATCGAACGGAACAAGGAAGAAGAGAAACTGGATGGGCGACCCTCAATACACCGCATTATGTTACTTCCATTTGTCACTTTTCACACAAACAAAGACACTACGATCGAATGCGCCATTTCACGCAACAAGTACATTGTTTTTTTCTGCATGCGTTCTCATTTTTTCATACTTTCAGATCCGAGTATTTGATGACCTTCAATCATCCGTTTAAAGTGCACTACGATATAGAGGTGCTGAAGCGATTGGGCTTCGCATACGGATTAGACAAGGGCGACGTGACTGATGAAATTGCTTCCAAACTGAAGAGTTATTTGCCTCCTTCCCTGAGGTTTTATATCGATGGTATGTGTTTTTTGATTGTCATAATTTTCGGCATACGATTGATAAAACTGAAAACTTGAAACGTGTATCCAATTTGATCCACCAAAAAGTAACGAAGATGATACATTTTTAAAAAGTTCCATGGCAAGTTTCATTAATAAAGAGTCAGTGATATTCTCAGGGCGTAAGTGCGAAAGGTACATGCAGTAACCACGTGTAAACAATTATTTGCAGCAGAATTTGCTGGTAAATCTCAAAGAATTATTAACCTAGGTATCTCATATTAGCGCTGCTTTTCCGTCATATTCTCCTTACATGACAAGTATTCATGCTGCTTCTTCATATTAATGATTGGTGCACGACCTCGTCTTGGTCAACTGAAATGTCATTGAAACGTTTAGCGATAAGGTTCTTTACGGCTGCTCATATCAGTAAGTTTAGAGCTGCATCATTATCTTAAATGAGGGGCCTGTAGTTGTAGTCGCGTTGAATGTACTCTTGGTTCCCGATAAAACATTTGTTTAAGAGATCTACGAGCAGTGGATGATCATTGTCATACAGCAGCGGTTACCTCGACCGAACGGCGGCCTGGACGACGTTTCTAACTATGCATTCAACAGCTTATTCCCAATAGATTTTTGCTGATGTGAAAGACCAGTGAAATGGCATGCTTTAAGATGGTGAAGTTTCTTCAGTAGACTAAGAACGGTTAATTTGTCGTCGTAGGTGATGGATGACAAAAGAGACAATCATAAACACAGAGTCGGGCCGCTACATTCAAAGGAAGGATCGGAAACCTCAATAGCCTAATCTCTTCATTTCCTTAGAAAATGCTGTGTCAACGTTGTTATTCAAAATCATTTTCAGACATCGTACGTTTCTAACGCACGGAATCGATTCTTTCTTTGTTGTTATTGGCTATTAAGTAACAAAAAATGATCTGATTGATCTTGAGTTCCTAATAATCACCTTTAGCTGGACGATACTTTTCTTGCGATAATCAAACCAAGGTTCTTGATCTTTCAGGCTTGGCTGAATCGATCATTAGATCATGCTGACACGTTTTCGCGAAAGCTTTTTCACATCTCCTTCTAAAGGACTTCTCATCATATTAATGTATCGGGCTTGTGAATCCTGGCTAATTTTAAAAGACCCTGTTGCGAACAAGCAGATTGTGATTTTTTGACATCTTTGCTCCTTGTTTTACTCGAAAATTAAAAATTATCTAAGACAGAACAGATTTACTTAGGGCCAAAATGATCAGAGGCCCTGGTGATTATTGCCTTAAAGTATTTTGAATAAATTACTTCTGGGTGTCAGTTGTTGGGGAAGCCGTTCATACACGGTTCTACGACGATTCGGCGCGGCCGTTTCGGCGCCGATCGATTGTCGTTATCAACGTGAGGTCCGATGGCGCGCGTCTGAGTCTGTATGAAAGCAACTTTGTTTGTGTAGCATAGTAAGTATTGATTAGTTGTAATATCGAAACCACAGTGTTACATATCCATGAGAAGTTCTCCTTGAGATCTGAGTTTAGAACGTCACACTCGTCGATATGGAAGCTAATTGATGGGCTCCATAAAGTTCAGAAGGGCCGCGAAATCTACCACTAACAACTTTCCGGCCATCAATCACCAGTAAAATTGACGAAATATCGGGATGCGGACGAAGGAAGGCAATCAGTTGTGACTATCGTAATAGAGATATTCTTAATACCTTTGTGGGATATCGAACAGTTGCGAAAGGGCGCAGTGATGTTGTATATTGCACATCAATTTTGCTATATAAATAAAGTTGCTTTTGACATCAGCTTGTTCTTCTGTGAAAAGCTGATTTTAAAGTTTAAACAAATTTAAATTTAGTGAAATAATTGGACAATTTTGCATCTAATTTGACAGACGCTTTGTGATTTTGTTTTGTTTTTTGTTGTTGTTCTTTTGGAAGATATTAATATTCGAATAATGAACATCTGATGGTGAACGAAATCTTGAAACCTTAGAAATTTATTAGTTTGACAGAAGTTTCACATTGTGCTCACGAAGAGCTTCTCATAGATATATAAGAATATAAGTTGCTAGGTTTGATGTTACACTTGATGGAGATGACCACGGTCCAATGATATAGAATCAAACGCGCGCCACAGGACTGCACGTTGATAACGACAATCGATCGGCGCCGAAGCGTCTCGCGCCGAAACGGTCCGCGTCGAATCAGCCTGTTCCGTTCATTGCAGACTTGCTGTTGGCACCGCAAAATTTCAGGAGTGCGCACAATTTTGTTTAACGTCTGCATGTATGGGAGAAGGGGGGAGGAGTCTCTGTTCTTTCCGATCACACCATATTTGGTTATGGGTTCGGACATGTGCGGTAAAGTCTCCTGTCATAAAAATTGGACCAGTCTCAGCTGCCTATCCGTTTCTTTCTGGAACAGTTTTTTATATGATTCTGAATGACCTTGCGCTAGAATCAGCGTTCCCTCTGTTGGTCCGCCCTTCAGTCTGCGATTGCGTTTCTTATGGCCATGTATTCATCAGCACAATGTAGCAGTGGATGTGAGAGGGTCTAACGCATGTCGCTACCCCTGCTTGTGCTGATATGGTTTGTAGAGCATGAAAGCTTCCTCCTGGTGTCGTGGTTGAAGAACTTTAAATGGGGCGTTTGGTAGGAGAGGTGTCAGTGTATCCAGCTGGGTTTTGTGAATCTTCAAGCAGTTATTTTTTTTCTAGTCAGCCGACAAAAAAATTTCGGTTTTCTTGAACAGTGCTCTTCTTTCGCTTTGTCTGATTTCTGCCCGTCAATAATTAAAGCGTATATGACCTCGTCAGAGGACAGCCAGTAATGTCCTCAAGGATATACAGCTTCAACTCTTCTTACCCGGTCATTTGTTATTTTCAGTGTGTGTATTATAATAAGTATATTATATTATTACTCGTTGCGAAATTTCAGTTAATCTGTCTAGAATATTTTATGCTCCGGCACCTATATTGCAACTTGATAGTGCCTTTAAATCTCTGCACTAGGCATATCTTGCATTGCACAAACGCTTAATAAAACCCGTTATAAATTCTCGTAGCGTGTAAAATGAATGTCAAACATATTTTATATTTTTCTGATGTAAACCATTCGTCCCGTATCAGAACTAATCCATCTTGAATGGTGTAAGCGGCTTTTGGTATATTTCTTTTGTTTTTCATGTAATGCTGTTTGCAGATTGTTTTTCACTCATTTGTGGTTGAAGTTGCCGTTAATAAAGTCAGACATATTTTAATTTTTGTCGTAGCATACATTTGTTTGGGAGTGTTTGTTTTAGAATTGCCAGGAATGATATTAAATGATTTTGCTGACGATTCATTAGTGTCGTCCAAGGATGGAAAACGTGACAAAGTGTAAGTGCCTATTTTGATTACCGAAGCTTTGTAATCTAATGTAAAACATTCAGAGAAAACCACTTTTTTTGTTTTCTACTGACCTAAGCTTATCCCATTGCAACTTTCAGAATTACAGAGCTAGTA